CAATATGCAGTCATCTTAGATTTAAGTTGTTTTAATATATGCCTATCTATGCCAAAAGTTTTCCTTTAATAAAAACTGTCACACAAAAAATTACAATCAGTTTTACTTTTCACAGCTTGCTTCTCCATTAAAGTCCTATCATGCTTCAGTTAAAAATAAATCTGCATTAACAAACAAAAAAGTAGTACAACCAACATTTATATTCTGCTATTACTCACTTTTTTTTTTTGCTTAATGTTCTTTTTTAGAGCTTGGCTAAGCTAACAGATGGATTCCGAAATAGCTGTTGTATTACGGACTGTCTGCAGGACCTCCAGCAGAATTCTAGTTCGCTCAGTGACTCCTGTTTACCTCAACAACACTATGATGCTTGTTCTCAAACTGACATTACTGGAGAGGTATGTGTTCCAATGTAAGATGTTAGTTGTAAAAAAATAGGCTGCTTTTATCTTGGTGGCATATGACTGTGGCTCATTTTCCATTGTTATCTGAAGAATTTTTAGCTGTATGTTTAGAAGAACATTGAAGGGAAAAGACTTTACGCTGCTCAAAGAAATCCATTTTGGTTTAACAATGTGCAGATAACATTCAGTAGTGACATATGTTTGGTTCATATACTTGAGTATGATAAAGGCCTTGGAAATGTGCTCGCAGATCAGTGTAGAGAGGAATCGATTTCTTGGTTTCCTCAACTTGGGGTCAGAAGATCACTTTCCCACCACCATCAGGTCTGAGGGACACATTGCAGAGTTGACTGGGGAATACTTCTCAAAGAAGTGTTCAGAAGCCTGCTAAGTCTATAGGTTGCATTAACAGTATTCATTATTCTTCTTATTTTGGTTCATTCTGTGTGTCCCCTTTCACTTACCATTATCAGTTTGATAAATCTGATGACTAGAAAGAAAGATAGAGATTTGTAAAGAAAATGTTCCTATTGGACCATGAGGAATTTGAGAAAATTGAGCTTGCACTAAACCATGTATCACATGAATGAATGGAATAGTCATAGGGGGGAGTTGGGAAGCCATATAATCCTTATATATCCATAGGTAAGTAGGTATTTCTGTGCTTGGGAATACTCATTGAATATCGTCCCAGGCTATTCTTGAAAACTCTATTCTTAAGTTTCTGTTAGAGTTTTTGTTAGAAACTTTATGTATAATTATATAGGAATAATGTGTGAGATGCATGAGGATTGTATCTACTACACGTGTGATGGTGGACACTGACAAGCAGTGGACAAAGGGTCTAAAGCATAGTGGATCTGAGGGTGTGCATAGACTAGGCATTAAGTCAAACATGACAGGGAGAGGGGAGTGGGGTTTACAGAGGAGGTTGCTTCAGCTTAGGTAGTAGGTACATCTCATTGAATAAAACTTTTGACTGTAATTTATATCTAGGTAAATTTTTAAATCAGGTTTTGATTTCAGGTGTTAAGATGTTGGGTAACAGCTCAACATTCAGAGAACATTATTTTTAAAAGATGAAAACCCCAATAAGGTTTTATTGACCTTTCCATAAACTAGCCACATTAAGCAATTTTATATATTGCAGTCTTTTGATACATCAAATTCTTTACATTTTCAACTTGGACTAAAGGGAACCTTGGCAGTCAAACTAGTTTATTTTTTACAACTCTGAGCTTTTAATTTCCAGGAAGGAAATTTACTGAGCACAGTAGTTTTACATAGACAGTACCTTTAGGTATTTTATCAAAACCTAATTTTTGTATGTTAAGAATCTGAAAGGTTCTTTTGAAGAACTATTCTTAAAAATGACTTTTTTTAGTAAATTGGGGAGTTGGGAAGATTTTTTTTTCATGTACATTTTTTTTTATTTGTATTTAAATGCTGCTTCCTCACCCCATTTCTTTCTCTTCCCGGTCCTCAACACCCCAAAAGTTTGGTTTGGATGATAAAACAAGGCTTGTGGACAAAGTAAGACTGAACTGGCAATATGAAGAAGCCAAAAAGAGGTAAGTAAATTTAAGCTTTTGTTTGTATTCTTTGTAACTAAGTTTTAGATATGTATTTCGATCCAGGCATCTATATTCATTTCAGGACTTATGTTGAAGCAGTTTTAGAAAGGTTAATTAACTGAATTTGTTTTTGGCAGCGGAGGCTTAATTTTATGTTGATGCTATCATTAAAATCAGTTTGCAGAAGAAAATCCAGATGTATGAGTAGCTGTAGATAAACAAGGAATCGTAGCAGTTCAACTAAAGCTGTTTTAAGTTGATTTTGTTGATGTGTTAAGTGTCATAAAACAATTTAAACCTGACTTATCTCTCCAGTGTGTGTAAGTAAATAACAGTGACATGCCAAACCTATAGTAAAAATGGTTTAAACCTTGTAACACGATAAGATGAATGCAAATCAGTTTTATAGCTGAATGATAAGGCTTATAAAAATGAAATTATGTTCATTAACAAGGGACATTTTTGTTTTAAAATATTTTAAAATTGGTTCATCCTTCATTCTGTTATGGCTTTTGATAGTTGTAAGGCCCTGTTATTTATAAGAACGAGGTTAGAGAAAAATAATTGCTTTCCTCATTTGTTGAAGAATTCTAGCTTTTTTTAAGAAGCTGCACTTACCTCATGCTTTGAATTAAGCATATAAAATTTGGTAAGGGAGGCTGTCTTTGTGTTAGAGAGCATCTTTTGCTATCCTTGTGAAATCTGCAGTTATAAGGGTATAGTAATCATAGTTGTCACATGCTTTCTAGACACTTGAGGGATCTAACAGTCCAGCCATGCCAGTGACCCATGTTGAGGTTCCATAATGTATCAGATCAATGGGCCACATGATGGACTTTTCCCACCTATTTTATTTTTTTAAAACCTAGGGCATTAAACACACCATTGTGTTCAAAGAACATTTTTCAAGTTGTAAAGTGATTGTTAATTGGAAAATGACTAAGCCTATTTAATGGAGATGCCTGTGCAGTCCTTATCCAGTGTTTTTATATATTTTGTTTACAGCTCTTCATTATATTGTGTGAGGGCCACATGGGTAGCTTTTCTCCTTGACAGGTGCTCTGCCCCCTGGTTGCCATCCTGGGACGGGAAGTTCTGCCCTGTAACCCCTGACCCTTGCCACCAGAAGTCCCTCCCCTTGCCCTGGAAGTACTCATTTCAGCAAGGGGTTTTGACATCTCAGAACCAGAAGAGCACCAAATTAGTCAGCTGGCCCGGATGATCTTCACCCTAGAGTCCTAAAGGAACTGGCTGGGGTCATTGCAAGTCCCCTGGCGCGGCTTTATGAACACTCGTGGTGCTTTGGAGAGGTGCCGGAGGACTGGAAGAGGGCCAACGTGGTTCCCATCTTCAAAAAGGGGAGGAAAGAGGACCTGGGGAACTACAGGCCAGTCAGTCTT